TATGTAGACCAGGCTGGCCTTGAACTCACAGAGACCAGCCTGCCTCTGCCTCCCCAGTGCTGGGACTAAAGGTATGGGCCACCATGCCCAGCAGAGAACACTTTTTTCATAGAACATTTTTAGAATTTTAATATATTACTGTTGTGTGTGCACATGGATCTCATAGCTCATGTGGAGGTCAGAGGTCAACTCTTTGGAGTAGATTCTCTCTGTCTTCCTTTACATGGATTCAGGGATTGAACTCAGGTCACCAGGCTTGCACAGCAAGCGTCTTTACCCATTGAGCCATCTCCTTAGCCCTTCCATGGAGCATTTTATGGATACTAAGTGTTTTGTGAATCGCTTTCTAGGAAATTATGGTTTCAGATATTCTGTGAAGACTTAGACTAGATATTTAAGATAATTTTAATTTTAAATGAACATTTTAAATAATGTCCTGATTGAATGGTATTGAATCCTAAAATTGGTGACTGAGCCAGACTATGCTGTTTTCTTCCTTAGAGAGCTGGTAGACTTTTCCTTCTTCTCTCCTCCCCTTCTTCCATCCCTTTAATGTTAGCATCAGGCATCCACCTGCCTGGGGGTGGATGAGGTGGAGGCCTGTGATATAGGGGATCTGAGAGTCTAGATCCTTCTCTACCCCAGAATTTTATGTTTATGGATCCTGACCGTGGCAGTATTGCATGGAAGGCACAGCGTAGCTGGGGCAGGAGGTAACTGAGAGTTTGGCTAAAAGAAGAGGGGGCTGGAGATGGGAAAAATTGATGCAATTATTTTTGGCAGAAGTTGGAACCAAAGCAGCAGGAGAGAGTAAGTTTTAAGACTTTCTGGCAAAGCAACTTCCTAATCTGTCACTGAGTATGTGTAAAAAAGTGATTAGTGGGTCTCTATATTTATCATGATTACTCACAAATATGTAATTTACATAATATATACAGCACATTAAGTACTATGTCACCTTATATAATGTGCATATGTATAATGTATATGTGTGTTATGTAATGCCAGTCTGGAGGCTCTTCCAGATTCTGCCAAGTATTTCCTAATTTATTTGGCAATTTTAACATATTTTTTCCATCTGTAGAATGAACTCACTTGAGAGGAGTTGGTCTATGACCTGAATATAATCATCCTACAAAGGCTAATCCTACAAAGTCTATGTCCACTCTCAACTCACTGGAGAAGCCCCACATGGACCATACCATAATGAGACACAATTCCAGCCCAGGGACAACACAGTGCACTGAGGGTTTTTGGTTTCACTGTTTTTATTGCTAGTGGGATGGAAGCATGAAGGCAAGTGAGAATGTGTCTGCAGCATGGAAAGAGTCAGAATAGGACAAGAAATAAGGGACTGGGATCTCCCTTGACAACTGTGTGGCTTTAGAAGTCACTAGGCATCATTAAGCCTCACTCTCTTCACTAGAGTTCGCTGTGGAGTTCACTAGGATGATGTACTTTAACTACACAATAAGAAACCACAGTCACAGGGTTTAAAAGATGATTTGCAAGGTACGATTAAACAACAACACAAGATTACTAAGATTACCAAATCAGAAGTGCAATTCCATGAAGTTTGTTATGATCAGTGCCTCTAAAAAGGATTGAGGGTATGTCTTTATGTCTTTCAGGCAACATTCAGCCTCTGTGGGGCCCCTTCGTGAGACTTGAAGTTTCTAAGAACCCATTTCACCTGTTGATGATGCTGTCTCAACACCCATAAACCTGAGGAATCAGGGCTGAAACACATGCAAACATTTTTGCAAATGTCTTAGAATTAGTGACTCTGAGCCTGAACCTGCCTCAGTTTCAGAATCAAGCGGCTTCCAAGATAGTACCTGCTGTCATTCTAGAGCTTGTCTGACCCATCACCAAGCATCCCATCAGTATGCTCTTCAAACGGAAGTATTCTACATGTTGGGTTGAGCAGTATGGTCTCAGGTCTCAGTCCTTGATGATCTTAAAGAATTGCTTCCTTCCACAGTTTGTTCGATTTGTACCCATTCTTCATATTCCCTTCATTGTCATTGCAAGATTAGAGGAAGCTCAGTGGGGTGATGTCAATTGGGCTCAGGTTTCCTTTTGAGGAATGTGAGCCAGAGATGAATGTCCATGTGAGCCAGAGAGCTGGGAAAGGTTGTTTTTTTGCCAGTAATGCTCTATGTACAGTTGCCCAGTGTGAGTGAAGGGGAATGCTGGCACCAGCTCAGTGAGGCCTACAAGCCTGTCCTGGCTGACAGCACCCTACAGAAGGTGCCTCTTCACTGAGGTCACCCTGTAGCCAGGAGTGTTTCCAAAGAGGCTCTCTCTGGTAACCATGATGAGGTGACATGGGTTCAATAAGATGATCTGTCTGGTGAGCTCAGCCTCAGGCCAACTTTTTTCCAGGTCAGAGAAGCCACTGCTTTGTGTGGGGATGCCCACATATATGCTGCACGCTTGTTCCACTCTGGCCACTTGGATCTAAGTACAATTACTTCTCGGTGACTAGAAATGACTCTGTTCCTAGATGTGTGGGTTGTTTTGTCTATTTACCATCTTCTCAGTGACACAGTCAAACCACATTAGTCAAGTCTCTTTAGTTCTCTACAACTTAGCTTCCTTATCAATAAATGGGAAAATAAATCCTGTGTAGCATATTTCATGGCTGTTGTGAACACCCAGAATCCTCTTAAATCTTATTACCAGCATGGGGAAATGTGTCTTTACAATGAAATGGAGGTGTGGGGCAGTGAAAACCTTCTTTTTCTTTCCCACTTTCTGTTCCCATACTACCCATGTTTACTTCTAATCAGAAGTCCAGCAGTAAATAAATATTTATATATTATATATAAATCTATATGCTACATATGTACATATGTAAGACCATCAGAGGGTCCTTCAGTCACACTCTTGAGAGTGCAAAGTGCAAAAAGCAGAAAGAATCCCCTGGTAGACTATCTTCTGGTTTCCTTAGCAAAGTCCCTCCATTCCATGCTTGTGTCTTTGGGATAGTTTTCCACCAGGGCTTGGAATTCAAACAAGAGACACCATTTGGCTTGTGTGGTAGGGTTAGGGTGTGGGAAGAGTAGAGGTTTTTTTCTTTTTCCTTCTCTTTTTTACACAATATTGTGACACCAATTTGAAAAATAAAGCCCGGTTTCTCAGCTTTCCCTCCCAGGTGTTCATAGAGCTAAGAAAATAAATACCACATCTAAGGTGTGTTGTGCAAGCAGCTCTAGGGACTCTTGGAACTGTCTCCAAACAAACAGCCACCAAGAGGCACGTCAGGAGAGGAACAAGTGCTTACTGACTGCATAGAAGACCAAGAATGGAAACAGCTTTCCACAGCTTTTTGGCCTTCTCAGCAAGCTGGGGAGGAGCTGTTGCTTGAAGGACAGCGAGGAAACCCTCGTGGGCTTGCAGAGCGCTGCCAAGGGCTTTGCGTGGAGAGCTGGAGGCTGTTTTGTCTCCATACAGAAGGACTTTTGTGCAAATTTTCTGGATCAGAGCTCTTTCCTTGACCACATCCGATCTCACTGTAGGCAGGAAACCTAAAGTCTGCTCCTCACAAACATCGGTGAGGAACCTTACAGGAGTGGTAAAGAGAAAGGGAGTTTTCCTTCAGGCTCAGAGAGTCTACCCAAGGTGACTGGGAATGTGGGAGTTGCTGTATGAACCAACCCATCTTGGTGGGCCCTGAGTCCATTCAAAATATTTCCTGGTCATTGGCTCTGTTAGGAGTGGATCCATTTTCTAAATAGGTAGACTGTATGGCAAGGTTAAATTTTCCTCTGGAAAAGTGATTTTGCTACCACTGGTTACAGAAGAGTGAGTGAGTGAGTGTGTGTGTGTGTGTGTGTGTGTGTGTGTGTGTGTATGTGTGTGTGTGTGTGTAAAGATTCTTGTTTTCTTCCTTGGTTTAGCTGGTGTTTGGCACACAGTTTAGTCTTTTGAATGGCTTTTCCTCCTCAGTGAAAAGAAGCTGCTCTTCTGGGGAGGCCCCATCATCATGGGCGCTTGATTCTTGTGAGTGATTTTAATCTAAAAGCAAAGAAGCAGAGATGAATTAGTGGCAATGCAAGACCCAGTAACTCAGGGGAGAGTGGGTTGCAGGGAAGAAAGAAGGCCAGCTTTGGGATCCAAGGAATCCCATACAGAAGGACAACTGTCCTTGAACAGTTTCAAAATTGGCAACTTGACCCTGACTGGGCCTGGAGTTTGGCACTGCTAGAAGCAAAGGGCGGAAACACTGGGGAGAGACAGGTGTGAGCTTCCCACGTGGTGATCAGCTCGCACCTGTCTTATGTCCTTGCTATTCATAGACTGTCAGAATGTCACAGCCGGAGGAGACCTCAGGGACCTTCCCATTCACCCCTCTGTAGGACAGATAAGGAATGGGAGCCCATAGCGCCATCGAAGCTTAGATCAGCCTAAGTTTGCACGGAAGGGAAGAACAGCCACAGACCAGCTCCTCACACTCCAGTTTCCCTATAGTTCTGGCAGTGGACAGATGTCAACCAGCTGACCTGGAGGCTTCAGTTTAACTTCTGACCAAGCAACCTCATGTGAACAGTTCCCAAGTGAGTCCCTTAGGTGTAATCGCTTTTCTTAGACTCTGGGAAGACCTTGGGAAAGCATTTCTAAAAAAATTTAGGGTTTATAATTTTCTTCTGTAAATGCTCAGTTAATTGTAGACATGGTTTCAAAATGCTTAATCCCCATTTGAATGTGGCTTGGTGATACTCCCACATTAATAATCTACATTATCACTCCATCAACATTTATTGAGTATCTTAGATGTTCAGAGTGGGTGGCTGATATGGGAACAGGAGGTACTTAGGATTCAAAGGCTTGGGTGTAGGGCCATGTTCTACTCCCAGTGTAAAACTTGGGACCAACCATTTATCATTCAGAGAACAATGCTTGCCAAACTTCAAAGCAAAGATAACATTTATTCTATTTTTTTTTCCACAAAGATCATATGACAGACTGTCAATGAAAGCCCATTGTAAATTGTAAAATGGAAAGTAATGGCTAGGTAAGTACTTGTCTTATACTGGAGAGAAAGAAAAATAGATGTCAAAGGAAACAGAATCTAGGAACCCATGCATCTATGAACTCAATCTTGTGGTTTTCACTATGCTATGGGAAGTGACAGTGTGACCACAGAGAAAAACAGAAGGACTCTCAGACACCTCATCCACAAGTTTGAATCAATGTAAGATGATCCAAGTGGTCTCCAAAAGAAGTAAGATAAGGGACAAGAAGGGTCTGATGAGAACTACAAGGAAGACTTAGGATTCAAAGGACAGAAGGAAATGCGTTGTTGAGAAGAGAGAGAGAAGCCACTGGGTAAAGAAGCCATGTGTGAACAGGCTGAGTCAAGGGCAAAGGAGGAGAAACGTGGGACTTGGGCAGTTGGTTGGTATAGAGCTTTAACCAGAGTTGACAAGATTGGGTTCCTATAAGGTAATCAGTAGCAATGAAAGATGCTGAAAAATAACAAGATGAAGAAAAGGGGCTGAGGGGAATTCAGCAGCTGTCATCAGAGTAGGCTAGAGTAGGAACATGTGGCTAAAACGGTGCCAGGGCAAGTCAGGCTCACATTTACCAGGCTCCAGGAAATGCAAAGAAACAGATGGAAGCCAAAGACATGGGGACAACCAGCACAGCCTGGTGATGGGACTGAAAACGTTCCTCACGTTGGTTTTCACCAGCCTGGAGACACGAAGAGCAGTGAGTTTTTCTACTTTGCAGTAGTTGCCAGAGGAACAGAGGCCATCAAATCCATTTTGTTTTGTGTGTCATCTTGCAGGTGTTATGTGATAAACGTTTTGTGTTATGCAGGTTCCGTGATAGAAGTGAGGCACAACAGCACTTTTCTGTGGCCTGCAATTTAGTGTAGAGATTTAGTAGAGATTTGTGACACATGCTCAGATGGTAGAGATTTGTGACATAAGCCTTCTTTCACTCCTGAGCTCACATGCCCATTTGAGGAGGACTTCTGACTCTCATTTTGTTATTCCCTGAACTAACCCAGTGCCTGCTGGAAGAATATGCTGGAGCAAAGGAACAGAGCCCAGAGAAAAAGAGCATTTCCTGGCAGTGGAGATGGCTGTTTGGGGAAGAGGATGGCAGCTGTGCACTGTCTACATTTACCACTGATGAACCCCACCTTGTCAGGAGATAGAAGGTCCTTGCTTCTTCGTTCTCTGTCAAAAACCAAACTGTGTACTTGCTTGTTAGTACCTCTGGCTTCTGAGAAATTTTGACAAAGGTGTTGATAGGGTGGGGATTTGGAACTCCTGGATAACATGGTATTTTGGTCATATTTGAGGATCATATTACTACAGATAACTGAGAGGTATGAGATCATATCCTCATTCTAAGTCAGAATTGTCTATTTGTCCTTTACCCCCAAATCAGGGAGGGCTTGTGGGTAAAATAGTTAAGACTCCATTTTAGGAGGTACTTTGATGTTAAATCTGCCTTTTAAACCCTTGAATGAAAAAGAGCATTTTTCATTTCTGTAGTTAAAACTCAAACTTCATTGGTAATTGAACAGGTAAGAAAATTACAGTCTCTATGATTCATAAGCAGACAAACACTAAGGGTAGCGGCCCCACTGTTAGTTTTCTGCTCTGTTACAGAGAGAGCTGATCCAGGAGATGACTCCTGTGTTAAAGAAGATTCAGGAGACTACCATTGTACCACTGCCTGACTGGAATCCTAGACTGTATAAATGCAGAAGGGCAACTGAACAGCACTGCGTATTCATCTCTCTCTGTGACTTGATTGTGGACCAACTACTTCTAGTTTCTGTTGCCTTGGCTGCACCCTTGAACTGTGAGCCAGTATAAACCCTTTGTCCCTTAAATTGCCTTTGTCATAGTTTTTTTTTTTTTCTTTTTGAGACAGGGTCTCCCTGTAGCCACAGCTGGCCTGGAACTTGCCACATAGACCAGGCTGATCTTGATCTCTGCCTACCTCTTGCCTCCTGAGTCCTGGGATTAAAGGCCTGTGCCACCACACCTGGCCCTTGTCATAGTATTTTGTTACAGCAGCAAGGAAAGAAATGAAGACAACCTTCAGATATAGTTGGGATAATCTGACCTTGTAAGAAAGATTTAGTGATGGGTAGGGAAATTCAGCTAGACCAAAGTGGGGTCCCTGAACCAGCAGCATCAATTTCTCCCTGGAACTTGTCAGAAATGCAAGTTCTCAGCTTCTAGACCTACTGGATTAGGTCTGGGATGTAGCTCAGTAATATGAATTAACCCCCCACCCCCAAATTATCAGTGTTTGTTCAAGTTTAAGAGAGATGGACTGAATAAATATGTTCTCTTTCAACTTAATGACTGTGCTGTCAACTTCAGGAGGAGATTCTTCCTTTTTTTGAGATAGGGTACTATTATATAGCCCTGGCTGGCCTGGAACTCACTATGTAGACCAGGTTGGCCTCAAACTCAGAGAGATTTACCTGCATCTGCCTTCACAGTGCTGGAATTGAAGAGGTATACTGTGACCCCAGGCTGAGTCTTAACTTTAAAAAAATTTGCTATTTGAGACAGGGTCTCAAACTCACATGCTGTACCTGAGAATGACCTTGAACTTGTGATCCTCCTGCTTCCATGTTGTCTAGCAATTTCCTGCCAGATAAAAGCTGCCATCTTGGAGGGAAGCTGGGTAAACAATAGACTGTTCTAAAGGATGTAAGCAACAGGATCTCCGAAGGGAGGGAAAAAAGGTGTTTTGAGGAGAGGTGAAACAATCCATCCTGTAAGGAAGCTCATTAAACTCAGGAAGTAAACAACTCAATAGCAGCAGGAAGTCCCTGAAACTGACCAGGTTTGACTAGGCTCCTCCCTCCCAAAATATATAAGCCCTAAGACCTGCTGAGATGCTTTCAGGCCACCCAAAGTGCCTAGAGGACCGAGAAACAGCCTGAGCTCCCTAGCTAGAGGCCCAGAGGAGTCAAACATCCTGAAAGCAGCAGAAACCAGCTGAATTCCAAGAGGCTCAGACCAACTGGACTATCTGGGAAGGATACTCTCTAACTGTTGAGTTGCCTATAGGTTGTGCATTGTGGGCTAGGTTTCCTGCTTTCATGAGCCATCACCTATGCTGGGGTGGGCTTGGGTGATGCAGCTGTCTGTTCCTGTAAGTAACCCATTATCCATATTCCTGTGAGTAATCTCAATAAAAACTCATTGGTTCACAGTGTTGGACTTGGTAGTATTCTACTTTGGTCTGTTGTCACTTCCCTATCTGTGGTGAGGAGATGTTTGTTAATGACTCCCCTGGAATAGTGTCACAACACTCCACCTCCTGAGTGCTGGGATTATAGTGTGAACCACCATGTTGCTGATGAAGCCAGGGAGGTCATTTATAGTATTGCAAGCTTGAGACAAACTTTGTTAATAAATACATACTTTATGAACATACATTTTAATGTATAAACAAGTATCTTCTTGTTTTCTAAACATAAAATAGGGACTGGAGAGATGGCTCAGCAGTTGAGAACACTGGCTACTCTTGCGGAGGACCCAGATTCTGTTCCCAGTACCCACATGGTGCCTAACAACCATTCCTAACTAGTTCCAGAGGATCCAGTGCCCTCTCTGTCTTCCTCAGGCATTAACAAACAAAATAGTTTTTAAAATTTTATAAAATAATAGAAAAAGTTTAAAATTCACACAGAAGTAAAAACTTCTTGGCATATTGCTGTTAGTTCGTGTCTATGCTTGCATGCTTTTTACAATTTTATTATTTTTACTTTTATGTGTATGAGTATTATCTACATGTATGTAAATGCACCATGTTGTGCAGTGCCTGCAGAGGTCAGAAAAGAGCATCAAATTCTCTTGGAACTGGAGTTATAGATGGTTGTTAGCTGCCATGTGGGTGCTGGGAATTGAACCCTGGGTCCTATGCAAGAGCAGACAGTCCTCTCAACCACTGAGCCATCTCTCCAGCCCCTCTTGCATGCTTTTAATAAAATTGAAATCAGCTTCTAAACCTGCTTTATTTAACATTATTTT